AGATGAGAACTGGCGACTTTGTAGTACAACTTTAGTACGCGGAGCAAGCTGTGGAGCTGGAAGCTGAGAACTGGCGACTTTGTAGTACTACTTTGGTACGCGGATGAGTCATCTCTCGCGGCTGAGTCATCTCTTGCGGCTGCTCTGGCGCCCTTGCAGCTGAGTCATGTCTCCCGACCACCCGGCTCTCTTGAGAGGTTGACAAATCTTAGCCACTTTGCTTACTTATAAGTGCCTGCCACAAAAGAGTCATCGTGACGTTAGTATGTGTGTACTTCACCTTCATGACAAACGATGTTCGCTTGGAATCCACGAGTCGCTTGTCATGATCGTGACGTCGTTTACTCTCAGGTCGCCCTGTTCGTGGAAACTTCAGTGTGAAATGTACGTTCTTCAGTTCTATTTGAACCTCTTCAGCGTTGTACTTGCGCAACTAAGGTTGACGTTGCACTGCCGTTGCATCGACGCATCTACGTCTACACCCCCTCACCTCTCTATATTTACATCTTCACACGCTCACATCCACAGATCTACCTCTCCACCTCCATACATCTACAGATCTATATCGCACCTGCGCATCACACTGTCACTCCTTCACATCCACCCGCTCTTTCTCTCTTTCTATACATCTTTTCGACAGTGCTGGACAATTACATGTCTCGCTCTCGGGCCAACCGTCGTCTAGTCTTTAACCCATGTTGCAATAGGATGCACTCTATATTACTCTATATAACACAGCAGAATTCATTGCCAAGTGAGTCGGTTCATGCGGATCATGGTCCCGACGCATGATGACATCGGAGATCCGCGTCTTCGCCTTCGCAGATCAGCTGAATCCGATGGTTTGTCATTTGGCGCGTTCCTTGGAGGTGGCTGGAGGCCATCTACATGTCCTAGGTCTGCGGGACGGTCGGAAAACTGTAGCAGCTTTGGAAGATCTTCAAGAACACGAGCAGAAGGAGCTGTTTTTGTAGAGACGAGTTGTCTAAGGCACAAAACACGTTCTTGAAGGACCTGGTACATGTTTTGTGGCATGTGTCCAACACTGAAGGACCATTATCCCTGGCATTTTGAAGACAAATTTGTCATGCTGAAGAAACACCTCTTTTTGCAGCGAGCGATTAGGTACTTGCCAGCCAATTTGACCGTGGTGTTCATTGATGCCTTCGATGTGCTGTTCCAACAGCCTTTGGAGGATTTTGCAAATGCTTATGAACGTCTTGCACAAGCTCATGTGGAAGAGCACGGTCAGTGGCCTGTCATCTATGGTGGAGACCTTAATTGCTGGCCCTTTCCTCACAATGCCCGCCTACGAGTTCCGCATAAGGACACGAACAGGACATTTCTACATCGTATCCCATCGGATGCGGCTCTTTCTGGTGCCTACCACGGAGCGTGGCGCTATCCTGCGCGCTTGGGCCAGATTCAAGGCGCAGAAGTTTGCCGTGAATGGCTTGCGCAGCATAGTGACGAGTCTGAAGCTCCCCCACGGTCACGGAATGAAGCGCCCTTGAAGAAGAGGCAGTTTCCCTTTGTTTGTTCTGGAACTTTCATTGGTCGGGCGGGGTCCTTGCGCCGTGTCCTGCGTGAGATGTTCCGACTGTACCAGCAGACCTCGGAATACCACGACCAGGCCCTAATCCCGTTGCTCTTGATGCGCTTCCCAGGTTTGGGCTTCGTGGACAAAGATGCTCAGCTTTTTCTGGGCCTCCACGGTCATGATGAGTTGTGGGATTTGGAGCGGCCCTTGTGCCGGGGCACTTACTTTGAAGACAAACCAGCTGCACAGGGCTTTTCCCGCTTTCTGGCACCAAGACTGAGATTTGGAGCTCGTCCAATGCTGCTGCATTTCAACGGAAATGGCAAGCGCCACATGTGGCGATGCGTCGAGGAGTTCCGGCAACATGAGCTCTTGGGTGGCCAGGGTGAAGACACGGCGGACTGCAAGTTCCGGGATGTTGACAGGAATCGTTGGAAACGGATGGGAAAGCAGTGGAAAAAGATGGAAACAGATTGTTTCGCAGAAGCGTGTCGCTTGTGACAGCGCAGTCGCTAGAAGTGATGCCGCAGCCCTCAATATCCCAATTGGACCGGTCTTTTTCTTGTCGACTAAGGAGCTCCTGTCACTCATGGGCACTTGCTGCCTCTGGGTCACTTTCCCGGCTTTGACATCTTCAAGCAGCCGTGCTTCCCAGCACACGGTGCTGGCATTGTGCCCTGGTGGCAGTTTCGAGGTAGATCGACGCTGGCAGATTCTTCCCTTCAAAGGTCTCGCACGGACTTGTTCGTGAGATTTGAAGACAAGCAAGCTTATGTAGTGTGTACATGTGTGTATGTAGTCCAGAAATTCTTTAAAGATTGTGTCTGTGGTAGGCCCACAATGATTGGCAAGTAAGACATGCATAGTTTGGCTAACAGTCGATGTGTTGGACTTTTGATCATTTTGAGGCTTGGTTCAGGTGTCACTACCTTCATTGTGGATGGTTTCTTGCACGAGGGACGCCTGCAGCCAACATCTATCCGCTCGGCTGTTCTGGCGGGAGGCGGACTCGAGCAGTGGGGGGCTGGGTCTTTGCGCAGATTAGCTTTTGTTTCCTCGCCATGAAGTCCTTATCTGCAATGAAAATGCACCAACACCAACACTTGAGCAAGAATCCTTAAACAACCACTGCAAGAACACTCGTATTCCAGAAGTTGTTATTAAATTCAACATCACACCACCTATATAATGTCAACATGTCCAGAAGAGCCTTTGCCAGATCCTTTTCCTCAACGTCACTTGCGAAATGAGTGCAGTCATGTGCGTCTCGTCTTGTCAACTCAGGCGTTGCCCTGAGTGGCGTAGCGGACCTCCTGTGGCCTTTCACAGCCTTGGCGGCCGGGAAGGGCGTAGGAGTGCGAGGGAAGATCGCGCGTAGCGTTCTTGTGCCTAGTAGTAAGACCAGGAGCTACTAATAGCGTCCTTGCTCCTAGTAGAAGTGCCCTTTGTTCCTAGTAGCTTCTTGTTCCTAGTATGGCTTCGCCGTGCTTCACCCCTTCCCTGCATCATTCAAGTGTTTTTGACGAACAGAGAGTTCAATGAACGCTGATCAGACTGTGAACCGATAGAAGCAACATCAAGTAAGGTTTATCGTTTTGCCTGGTCTTGGGGGCATTTTAGCTGCGTAACCTTCTTTGTCTGGTGTTTTTCTTCAGGTCAAAGCAGGTACACTGTGATGGGCTTCTGGGACCAGTCTCAACAACTTTCAGTCTTCAACTTTGACTCGTCTCGATCTGAGACTCACCGGCAGGTGGGCTGCGTGGCCGGAGCATTGTCAACCATTGCTCTTCACTTTAGCAACCGAGACATCGATACCTCTGGCATCCTGCAGATTTACGCTCTTCCATCACTGCTGGGAGGGTGGACCAAGCTGCAAATAGCAAATGGATTTAAGGCTTACGCCTGACAGCCGGGCGCCGGCCCAACACAGGGCAAGAGTAGGACGGTAGAGGGGATAGAGGCAAAAGACATGAGGCGACGGGGCCGGGACGTCGGGCATCCCGGCAACATCCTTCAATGTGGAGGGGGGCTGACCGCCCGGGTGTATGTAAGACACACCGAAGGTCGGGAGAGCCATCGCTCTCTCTCTCTCTTTCTCTTTCTCGTTGGCTTGGTTAGGGTCTCTTTCCCTCCATGTCTCTCTCTCTCTCTCTGTCTGTCTGTCTGTCTGTCTGTCTCTGTCTGTCTGTCTGTCTGTCTGTCTGTCTGTCTGTCTGTCTGTCTGTCT